TGACCTTTTCTCTCTCTCTCCACCCCTCTCTCAATCTTTTTCTCCCCCTTAAAACACCCTTCTCTAATAGCTCATTGAGAGAGAGAATCACTGCTATCATGGTATCCACATAGTACCAATGTTTAATAATGTGGTTGTTATCAATGTTACTGCTACCAACATCTCCCGAAATATCCGTATGGGTCCTAAGTCACATTGGCATTTCAATGAGCTGTGTGTCTCTCCCCTGCTTCCCCCATCCCTCCCTCCCTCCTTTCCAGCGGTGTCTCAGAATGCTCGTTCAGACCCACTGCATTATGGGTGATGGAGACGTGGAATCACTGTGACATTATAAAACCTAACAGTGATTTCTCAGAGGCCATTCAACCATGTGTGTGTGTTTGTGTGTGACTGACCATTCAGTCGCTCCGTTGCCTTTTATTTCTGTCTGACCACAGACTCGTAAAAGCTCTCTGGCACCACCAGGTACTAGGGTTACACTCTTTCTCCCTTTCCCCATTTCTATCTTTAATGTTAGTCAATCTCTTTGACTACCCCTCCAACCTCCATCCATCCCTCCCCACCTTCTCCTTTCTCTGGCCCCTCTCAGCAAGATTTCCTCCCACATAGGGGGAGGTGACTTTATTGAATTATAGATCACATGTAAGCAGGATGCCTCTCACTGTGTTTGTGTTTGTTTGTGTGTGTGTGTGTGTGTTCACGCATTCATAGAATTCATTGAATGTTTGAGCAACAGTGAACAACCAGACGAAAGGTTCTTCTCAGTCAGTCACATGTTCCTCTGTTGGTCTTTGAGCCTGGGAAACACAGCTGTCTGTCTGATATCAATCTGTACTGATGACGTCACAGCTGGGTCACCTCAGAGATAGTGGATGTCTCAGAGTGATGTTCCTCTGTTGTTATATCACTCTCTGTTCCCCTCTTCTCCTCTAGAATGTTCTGCTTTTATCACAATCATAACATGCTCTGGGATTGAGATGCTTAATGTGGTGTGTGTGTGTGTGTGTCTGACATGTATCTTGATTAGACGGATAAACCCCCAAAACAGCTTGCAGTGTATACTAAGCCTGATTGTGAGACGCACACACAAACTGTCTCATCCACAGACAATGCTGTTGATTTATCTAGCAGGGAGGGACAAACAAGAAGGGCCTAGCAAAGAGATGCCTGCTATCACTGTGGGACATTCACCACACATACTATACACTGTCAATCCACTCCATAGACATCAAACCACAGCATCACACCACCGTGTGTGTGTGTATCAAATGTGTTTCATGTGTGTGCGTGTTTGTCTGTGTATTCATCAGTGTGACCCAATGACTGTATATATGAATGGACAAAGCCATTGACCACGTCACAACATCATTCCTATGTGAAGCCTCAATAGCGCTTTGAAACCAAATGAAGTCGGTTAAGATGGCGTCTCATGGAGACATAACATGCGCCGTTTGAGCTACTCCAGGAAGTGACGTTTTTTGTATGTTTTTTTTTAATGCTGTTCGTGCACACAAAACATTTTCTCCAGGCAAGCCACATTTCGGTAGCCTAAGTCTAGGCCCCTTCGCCAGTAATTGGTCAACAGTAGGGATTCTTCAAGTTTTTGTTGTCATTCAATGATAGACGACTCGTTTTCATGCAATTTCTTTCACTTGAGAAATACTGCACCAAACATAGTTAGATGTAAAATGTATCTCTTCGACAAAAATTAAACAATTATTGACAGATTTCTTGAGTTATCTTAAAATTAATTCTGATTATTTTGAGGAAGTGTATACTGGCTACAGCGCCTCAAAATGGACAAACAGTACTATTGCCGCTTTTTTCTCGTTTTTCAAGCGAAGGTCTTTTAAGGGAGTATGCGAGCACACTCGTTCACCTAGCCGAGTTCGGGTAGGCGCCAGCTGAACCGAAGCATGCGGATGCCTTAACTCAAGTTGAAGGCCGACCGGGGTACTGCAGGCTTCCATTAGCAACTCAATTATCATTATAACTTATTTTGTATGTGATTTTTTTAATCATCTGTTCAAGGACATACATCTGGTGTATTAGAAGAAATTGTTGGTACCATGATTGTCTTCACATGTTTTACTTATTTACACGATGATTGACCACAAAGATTAACATTTTTCCATTCACTATAATTGGGGATCCTGTTTTCTGCAAACAATGCCTGCAGTACCACGGTCTGCCTTGAACTTCCGTGGCTTCAATCAGAGGGGGCAGTCGTTCTCCCCTGGTGTGACCTCAGAACCTGTTCCAGGAGGTACAAGCAGAGCCCCACCCATTCTTTGTTTTCTAGGCTTAACCTTTCACCTCTCAACCCCCTGTGACCTAACGCTGCTCTGTGAATGGCTAGAGCCTCCTAGGCTGTGGAGGTTTCATTAATTTCTCCCACTCAATGCCTCGCCACAAACCACAATCTGATTAACGTCTCCCCTGTGAAAGGCTCCCTCTCCTCCATCTCTCCTCCTCTCTTCCCAGTGGAGAAACAAACCAGTCGGTCTTCAAATACACACACACATATACACGCAAGCCTACAGAGACGCCTTTGACATGGACTGGAACAAAAGAGCCGCTGTGTGCGTGAGAGAGAGGAGAACGGGCCCAGTGGTGACAAATACAAACAGCTGGAGGTTAGCTTAGACAAAGAGAAGGACGAGGAAGACAAGAGGAGGAGGGGAGGAAGAGAGGAGGGGAGGAGGCAGGAGGGGAGGAAGCAGGAGGGAAGGTGGCAGGAGTGGAGGAAGAGAGGAGGGGAGGAGGCAGGAGGAGGGAAGAGAGGAGGGGAGGAAGAGAGGAGGGCAGGAGGCAGGAGGGGAGGAAGCAGGAGGGGATGAAGAGAGGAGGGGAGGAGGCAGGAGGGAAGGAGGCAGGAGGGTAAGAAGCAGGAGGGGCTGAAGAGAGGAGGGGAGGAAGAGAGGAGGGGAGGAGGCAGGAGGGGAGTAGGCAGGAGGGGAGGAAGAGAGGAGGGGAGGAAGAGAGGAGGGGAGGAGGCAGGAGGGGAGGAAGAGAGGAGGGGAGGAGGCAGGAGGGTCTCCAGAGCTACGCACGACCTTGTGCCAGAAAGAGACTCAGAAAGCACCTCCCCACAGGTACCCACAAACATATACACACACACACAACGTATGGAACGGGTGAGCTATATAGGATAATAATAGCAAAGCTTCAAGGTTTAATTTCCTCCAGTCATTTGTACTGGCTTAATCCTGGCTGCAAGAGACCAGTGGAAGGGTGGTGTCTAAACATTATCCCTGTGAAATACAGTGACCGCCCGGCAGCAGGATACTATGGCTGTGGAGGGGTCGTGACTAAATATTATCTCAGCTACAACCGGTTCCTGATTAAAAAAGTCACCTGGGCTAATTGGAGACAGACAAATACTCAGTGACGGTTCACTCACATACACACACGCACGGGCACACACACATGCATACAGGCAGGCAGAATCCCACGCACACAAAACACACACAGTAACTTGGTCACTCAACAGAAAATTGGCATGGTATCTGGTAATTTGGAGGTAATTCGACCTTGTCATATGAGGGTTGTGTTTCAATAACACACATGGGCATGGAAACTAAGAAAGAACAGTCCATTTGTAAATTGAAAATGGAATTCAATGAGCTAAGAAGCTGGAGGTTAGCCACATGTTTGGAATAATAGGGGTGAAAGACAAACATACACTGATATGACCCCTACTGTGTAGAGATAGGATCTGTCCCTATTGAAAGAAAGGCAGAGACCGAGAGAAAGAGAGAGTAAGAAATGCTTGTGTGTGTGCGTGTGTGTGCCTCCTGTTTGAACCCTGGCTGTTGGGCTCATGTGTCTGAGCTGACGGAGGTATGAGAGAGAGAGAGAGAGAGGAGAGGAGAGAGAGGAGAGAGAGAGAGAGAGAGAGAGAGAGAGAGAGAGAGAGAGAGAGAGAACCAGGGATAAGAGAGAGAACAACTGACAATGTTTTCTAAACTATGACCCCAGTGAAAAATGAGGTGAGAGTAAGGGAAAGGAATAAAGAGCAACAGAAATTGGGCTCATGTGTCTGAGCTGACGGAGGTATGAGAGTGAGAGAGTGAGAGTGAGAGAGAGAGAGAGAGAGAGAGAGAGAGAGTAAGAGAGAGAGAGAGAGAGCGAGAGAGAGAGAGAGTAAGAGAGAGAGAGAGAGCGAGAGAGAGGCAGACAGAGGTATGTCAGATAGACTAAGCCCAGATATCTGCTCACAGCAAGAAAGTCACGCGCCACTTAGAGACATTCTCAAAACACACACACAGGACTGGGTGACAGGAGCAGAGGAGATCAAGAGGACAAGTCTGTCAGTTCACAATACATACAACACTACAGACTGAAAGTACAGATTGTCAAACTACCCTGTTGATCATACTGACTGCCGTTAAAACCTCCCTATCCACAATTCTACTCCAAACCTGCCATCATTACATGATGTCATCAGTGACAAAAACCTAGGATGAGATCGTCTTCAATAATTGGTCATTACAACCAGGAAGTGTGAGCACAGCCCAGTCTAATTGGTCCAATCACAACATGCCGAGTCAGGGGTGTAATGCACCCCAAAAAACAAAGTACGTGAGGGTGGCTAGGGGGTGATCCGGATGGATGGCTAGGTCCCCACAGTCCGGAAGATGGAGAATTTAGCATTCTTCAAACACCTGAAACAGCTTTTACCTGCAATTGAGAGCCATAATCTTTTTTCAAAGAAACTAAATATGCTTTTATGCATCTTTGCTAAAATCTGGTTAAAAGATTGAAAGGAATGTGAGTCTTATTCAATAGATTTAGTTATTGCTTGCTTTTCTAAAGTCTACCAACCTTGCCAGCAGGCATGCCAGCTAAAATAGTTAGCCAAGCTACTCTAACTTGATTGGTAGCCTGAAATAGCTTCTTGGTAGCTAGTTATGAGGTTAGGAGATTGGGAACCTATCTGGACTAGCTAAAGCCAACTTCATAAAATTGCTAGGTGGCTAGTAGTATTACAGAGAAACAAAAAATCTGAGGGGGGCATGTTCCCCTGTGCCCCCTATGGGCATGATGCCTCCGTGCTGAGTCACAGAGAGAAGACCAGATAGAACTGGACTCTGATACATCATCAGCTCAATTCAATTAGGATGAAGAGAGGCCATTTCCTCTATTCTTCTATATCCATTAGAGAAGTGATCCACACAGACAGACGTTTCTCATAGCATAACATCATAATGCATACAACCACAGCCAATTTACCAGAGGAAAATAACACATGATATTCTGATGGAAAAGCACAGCCTGGCGTTCAATTCAGACTTGGATTCTGTGACATGTCTGGCATATTGGTTTGTGGTTTGGAATGTGTGTGTGTGGTTTGCTTCCAGTTTTCCAGCCTGTCTTTGACTTGAGAGCACCTGACCACAGAGGAAGCTGGGAAATGGGGTGTCCATGTTTGATCTCTGTGTGTGGTATGTATCAATCTGGACTGTGTACCAAACAACGCTCTATTCCCTATATAGCGCACTACTTTTGACCAGAACCATATGGGCCCTGCTATATCAACAAGATCTCAAAGTTGTACCTATTTGACTTCAGATTCCGAAGTTTATCCACGTTTCTCCAAACGTCAAATTTGGAAGTTTCTCCATACGTCGAATTTCGACGGTTAAGTTTGGGATAGGGTTACAATTACAACAGAAACAACTTGACAGTTAAGTTTAGGCATTCAATAGGAATGGTTAAGTTATGGGTTAAGGTTTGGGATAGGGTAGAAAAAATTGAGAAAAAAGCACTGGGATTGAACATGCGACCCTCGCAGAGCCGGAGCTCGCGGCTTACGCCCATCCACCACCCGAATAGTAGAACACTACACAAGGCACAATTTCAACATTTGGTCGTGCATCAGCAGTTTTTCTAGTATTATGTAAGTCACTGACAGTCATTCAATAGCCCATGTCGGCAAAAACATTTTAGATTGTAAGTTAGTCTTGCGGCCAGCTATCTAAACCCCCGACCGGAGGGCCCCCATTGATTTTGGAAGTCACTCTCACTCAGATATCATATTCAAAACTGCAAACATTCACTCTACCCTATGGCAAAAAGCTGTAGAATTGCAGGAAATTTGCTGTAAACTGCGCATTTTTCTTTCCGTCCCATGCAAAATGAGTAGAATTGCAGCAAACTTGCTTTGAAAACTGCAACATTTTCTCTATGCCACATGGCAAAATGTGTAGAACTGCAGTAAATTAACTGTAAAACCCCCATCAAAGTTCTCTGAGTTAGACTGCCTGCGTTAGGCTACCTGAGTGCCAGCACATGCGCACACAGACACACACACTCAGATCTCAAAGACATGTAGTTATTGGATTCATGTGCGGGCGCTTCCATAATCCCTGGCGTCTATGGGCCCAGTAACATTAAGCTCTCGTTACTCTGTGTGTGTGTGCGAGTGTGTGCATGTGTATGTATGTGTACAGTGCATTCAGAAAGTATTCAAACCCCTTGACGTTTTCCACATTTTGTTACGTTACAGTCTTATTTTAAAATTGATTAAATTCAAAATGTTCCTCATCAATCTACACACAATACCACATAATGATGAAGCAAAGAAAGGTTTTTAGATGAGATAAGATTTTTTTTACAAATGTATTAAAAAAAAAACTAAATACCTGAGCCATGAGGTCGAAGGAATTGTCCGTAGAGCTCCGAGACAGGATTGTGTCGAGGCACAGATTTGAAACCACCAAGAATCTTCCTAGAGCTGGCCGCCCGGCCAAACTGAGCAATCGGGGGAGAAGGGCCTTGGTCAGGGAGGTGACCAAGAACCCGATGGTCACTCTGACAGAGCTCCAGAGTTCCTCTGTGGAGATGGGAGAACCTTTCAGAAGGACAACCATCTCTGCAGCACTCCACCAATCAGGCCTTTATGGTAGAGTGGCCAAACGGAAGCCACTCCTCAGTAAAAGGCACATGACAGCCCGCTTGGAGTTTGCCAAAAGGCACCTAAAGACTCTCAGACCATGAGAAACCAGATTCTCTGGTCTGATGAAACCAAGATTAAACTATTTGGCCTGAATGCCAAGCATCACGTCTGGAGGAAACCTGGCACCATCCCTACAGTGAAGCATGGTGGTGGCAGCATCATGTTGTGGGGATGTTTTTCAGCGGCAGGGACTGGGAGACTATTCTGGATCGAGGGAAAGATAGATCAGAACAGAGAGATCCTTGATGAAAACCTGCTCCAGAGCGCTCAGGACCTCAGACTGGGGTGAAGGTTCACCTTCCAACAGGACAATGACCCTAAGCACACAGCCAAGACAACGCAGGAGTGGCTCTGAATGTCCTTGAGTAGCCCAGCCAGAGCTCAGACTTGAACCCTATCAAACATCTCTGGAGAGACCTGAAAATAGCTGTGCAGCGACGCTCCCCATCCAACCTGACAGAGCTTGACAGGACCTGCAGAGAAGAATGGGAGAAACTCCCCAAATACAGGTGTGCCAAGCTTGTAGCGTCATCCCAAGAAGACTCAAGGCTGTAATCGCTGCCAAAGGTGCTTCAACAAAGTACTGAGTAAAGGGTCTGAATACTTATGTAAATCTGATATTTCAGTTTTTTATTTCTTTTAAATTTGCAAAAATGTCTAAAACCTTTTTTTGCTTTGTCATTATGGGGTTATTGTGTGTAGATTGATGAGGGGGAAAACAATTTAATCAATTTTAGAATAAGGCTGTAATGTAACAAAATGTGGAAAAAGTCAAGGGGTCTGAATACTTAGTTGGTAGAGCATGGGTTGTGGGTTCGTTTCCCACGGGGGGCCAGTATGAAAATGTATGCACTCACTAACTGTAAGTCGCTCTGGATAAGAGCGCCTGCTAAATTACTAAAAATGTTTTTAAAAATCTGAATTCTACATCGTGTATGTCAGGGTTGGGCTCAATTCAGAATTTTGGACTCCCATTGAAGTTAGAATTCAATTGGCACACCCCACATGATGTAGAATTTGAATTTGAGCGACAGGAAGTATAATTTAATTCAGTGCAGTGCAATTCAAATCAATTCCACTCATGAATTTCATTAAACCTGACAGGTCACACTTCCAGATACCAAATAATATATAACTTTTTGGAAACAATGTTCATATATACTCTTTTGACCTTAGTGCTTAGAATAGCCAATTATATTTCCATCAACCATTTCATTTGTTTGGCTTCATTTTGAAGGGCTCAGGGTTCACCTGAGGGTTAAACTAATGTATTTTGGGAAATGAAGTATTTTCCCCATATTGAACAAAATGTAAGTGAGTAATGAAACATAATAACTTAGGATATTCGTATACAGGTTTTGTTTTCCTTGGGGCAGCAGGTATACTTGCGGTTAAGAGTGTTGGGCCAGTAACCGAAAGGTCGCTGGTTCAAATCCACGAGCCAACTAGGTGAAAAATATGTCGATGTGCCCTTTAGCAAGGAACTTAAACCTAATTGATCCTGTAAGTCGCTCTTGATAAAGGTGTCTGCTAAATGACTAAAGTGTAAAAATCATTCACTTTAACAGTGTCCTGAAAATAGATTGTTTCAACAATATTTGATATGCATGTATTTAATGACATGTTTGATATTTTTTGTACAAGACCGCTATTTGTATAGACTACACCTAATATAGAATTGAAGGCGTTTGAATTTTAATTTCACTTAATTAAATTGTATTTCCTTTAATTCAAATTCAAATTGCAATTCTGTATCCTGTTTACTACTTCAATTCAAGAATTCTCAATTCAATTCTGAATTAAGCCCTACCCTGGTGTATGTGTGTGTGTGTGTGTGTGTGTGTGTGTGTGTGTGTGTGTGTGTGAGAGAGAGGGTTGAGGAGGCTAATTGCATCAGGGCAGTCTGAGGTTCCCGTCAGCTCCTCGATCATTACCAGCACAGACATGTTTTAGCACTCAGTCCGCCCCACTCACACACGCACACAGACACACACAGCGTACTGTACTCCATAAAAGCCTATGAATGATGTGATGCCTGAATCACCTCTTTAGGTTTTATGTGAAAGTATTGATTCAGTTTCCCACAGAAGAGTGGCTGCTTTACAGGGAGCATGACTCAAAACACACAACGTAATTTACCCAACCACTCTCTTTCCTATACAATTGGTGTTTGGTATAAATCCAACGTGAACTCTTGTGAGTGAGCTGTTGAATAGACACACATGTTACCTCAGTGTGTGTGTGTGTGTGTGTGTGTACCTCTGTTTCCCTCTGAGGAAGGCCCTAAAGATTGTCAAAGACTCCAGCCACCCTAGTCATAGACTGTTCTCTCTGCTACTGCACGACAAGCGGTACCGGAGCGCCAAGTCTAGGTCCAAAAGGCTTCTTAACAGCTTCTACCCCGGAGCCATAAGACTCCTGAACAGCTAATCAAATGGCTACCTGGTCTATTTGCATTGTCCGTCCCCCCCCACCCCACCCCACCCCTTCTTTTACGCTGCTGCTACTCTCTGTTTATTATCTATGCATAGTCACTTTAACTCTACCTACATTTACTTATATTACCTCAATTACCTCGACTAACCTGTGCCCCCGCACATTGACTCTGTACCGGTACCCCCTGTATATAGCCTCGCTACTGTTATTTTACTGCTGCTCTTTAATTATTTGTTATTTTTTTTTTTTTTCATTATCTATTTTTTACTTAACACTTATTTTTCTTAAAACTGCATTGTTGGTTAGGTGCTTGTAAGTACGCATTTCACTGTAAGGTCTACACCTGTTGTATTCGGCGCATGTGACAAATAAAATGTGATTTGATTTGATATTTTTTCCATGTTTGATAGAAAGACTAACACAGCTGCATTTTAATGACAGTGAAATGTTTCAGCATTGTGCGTGTGTGTATTCCTGGGCAAGTCATAAAGCACAAAGTGGCATTATACTGAGCGACTGACAGACGTTAAATTACATGTCAGGATGGGCACACATCACTACAGGGAGTCAGAGACACACACACACACACACACACACACACACACCTCCTATGGAGTGATGAGACAGGTAGTGAGCTTCAAATTACCCCCAAAAACAGACCTACTGCTGAGTGATAAATGAGACAAATACACCACAGACAGGTAGCTACCTCTATCTGTCTATCTCCATCTATCCGTCTCTTTCTCTCTCTGGATCTTTTCAACTCTCTGTCTAGAGCCATACTTTCTTTCAATTTCACTCTCTCTGACAGTCTGTCCGTACTATAAAACACTGTACCTTTAATTCACATACAGTGATATATATTATGCCTTGCCTTTTGCACACATTCCTTTTACTCTTCCTGCAAATAACATTACATGAATGATAGGCCCTGCTTTTTAAAGGCCAGACTCTGGAGTGTGATAAAGAGGAAGGTGCTGTACCAATTACCAGCTTATATAAAGCATACGTCTATGCAGTTCAAATAAAACCTGCTTCTTTACAGTTTAGTGTGTGTGTGTGTGTGTGTGTGTGTGTGTGTGTGTGTGTGTGTGTGTGTGTGTGTGTGTGTGTGCGTGTGTAAACTGATTTAATAAATCAGCATTGGATTGATTTATGGTTTATAGGGCGAGGCCTGACACAAGTGTTCCATTGAGACACACACACACACGCTCAAGAGATTCCTAGCCAAATGTGTAATGCTAAATCAACAGATTCTTATTGGGGTGCAGTGTTATATATGATAGTTTGAGTGAAACAGACGTTGTTTTAACATTAGGGAAGCCTGTCGACCCTCTGCTTCCCATGCAACAGTATCCTCTAGTCAATGGACCATTGTCCTGGCTACTGCTACAATGGAAAGAGTGAACTAAGAGGAGAGGAGGGAGATACTTCTGTTACCTACAGCTTTGTGCATACTGCTAATATGTTTGATAAGGTGGGTATTTTCACTACACCTGCAATGGAAGGAGATGTTTTACTCACTCTCTCTCTCTCTCTCTCTCTCTCTCTCTCTATATCTCTCTCTCTATCTCCTCTCTCTATTTTCTCTCTCTCTTTTCCTCTCTCTCTCTCCTCTCTCTCTCTCTCTCTCTCTCTCTCTCTCACATGAATCTAAGCTGAGAGGAATCTTTCCCTCTGGTGTATTTTGTGGAATGCAGTAATCCACTCTCCTGTGGTTGTGTGTGTGTGGTGTGTGTGTGTGTGTGTGTGTGTGCGTGTGTGCGTGCGTATGTGTATAATAGAAAGCACATGACTCCATGGTGGTGTCTCTTCCACCCCTCAGGATCAGACAGCACTGTTAGACTAATGGAGCATACACACACTAGTGATTTTTCTTTGCAACTCTGCCCAGAAGGTCAACATCCCGGAGTCGCCTCTTCACTGTTGACGTTGAGACTGGTGTTTTGCGGGTACTATTTAATGAAGCTGCCAGTTGAGAACCTGTGAGGCACCTGTTTCTCAAACTAGACACTCTAATGTATTTGTCCTCTTGCTCAGTTGTGCACCGGGGCCTCCCACTCCTCTTTCTATTCTGGTTAGAGCCAGTTTGCGCTGTTCTGTGAAGGGAGTAGTACACAGCGTTGTATGAGATCTTCAGTTTCTTGGCAATTTCTCGCATGGAATAGCCTTCATTTCTCAGAACAAGAATAGATTGACGAGTTTCAGAAGAAAGTTATTTGTTTCTGGCCATTTTGAGCCTATAATCGAACCCACAATTGCTGATGCTCCAGATACTCAACTAGTCTCAAGAAGGCCAGTTTTATTGCTTCTTTAATCAGCACAACAGTTTTCAGCTGTGCTAACATAATTGCAAAAGGGTTTTCTAATGATCAATTAGCCTTTTAAAATGATAAACTTGGATTAGCAAACACAACGTGCCATTGAAACACAGGACTGATGGTTGCTGATAATGGGCCTCTGTACGCCTACGTAGACATTCCATTAAAAATCAGCCGTTTCCAGCTACGATAGCCATTTACAAAATTAGCAATGTCTACACTGATCAATTTGATGTTATTTTAATGGACAATTTTATTTATTTTTTCTTTCGAAAACAAGGACATTTCTAAGTGACCCCAAACTTTTGAACGGTAGTATATGTCTTGTTTTTTTTGCGTATTGTATTAAACTGAAACATGTTCTTGTATTTGTTTGTAAGTGTCTATTTTTAATAAACCCTGTTTGATTGCTATGTATCAAGTCTGGCAAGACTTTTGCCATGCTATTGCTTATAAGCTTGTTATTATTTGATTAAACTTATGGGTCTATAATCAGCAGGGGACTCTCCAGATTTTAGTATAACTGAAATAACTGTTTGATACATGGAACTAGGAAGTTCTGAATTGAGTGACATGTTTGTTGTCATTTGTGAAAATAGGGGGGCTACTTTGTCCCAAAATGTTGAATAGAATTCTATGGGAAAGCCGTCCATTTCATGACATCTTTTGAACGTCAACATTTTAACAGTCTAATAAATACATTTCATACAGTATTTGCTATCGCAAAAATAATCATTTGAAAATGCATTTTAAAAGAACAGAACGGCATATTTGAGTTTAAATCTATTACTGTGCTTTGAGTGTTGCGAGTTCACGTGGGGAGCGCATGGAATCGTGGTAATTCTGCCAAAAAGTTATATTTTGAAAGAGCTCAAGGGGTAATTTTTAAGAGTTTAAGAGTCTTTCTGATACTATATAGACATCAAAATGTTTATCTGCCTCTGTGTCACTTTCAAGCTGCGCTGTTCATCAGATTCTTCATATACAATTTAACAATTGATCATATTCTCACCCATCGGACTAAAAGGAAAACAGCTAACTTCCTGCATTTCAACACATTTTGCCATGGGGCAGAGAGAAAAATTTACAGTTTTATAATACTATTCTATACATTTTGTCATGCGGCTGTGCGATAATTGTGCAGTTTTAAAGCTAATTTCCTGCTATTCTACACATTTCCCATTTTGATGGGCCATCATCAGCTGTGCAGGCTGACTGCCAGTGAGGGATTTGCGGTGAATGAGGGGCAGGGGAAACAAATGTGATGTCCTCTTAAAACTGCTTACAACACAAATTCAGTTCGTGATATTAAGATTCTAACAATGATAGTGTGTTATATAGACTTATTTAGTATAAGTCAAGGACAGGGGGGACATGGCTTTAAAAAAGTAAATTTGTTTTGAGTCAACATGATGCTCTCGGCTCTAATAGTGTTAACACATATCAGTCCCATTATAAACACGTCACAACCACTGCAGAGAAACACTGTCTAGTCTTACTCAACTCAACTATGGTGATGTCACAGTTTACATAGAGGTCACCATGCTTTATTAGTACTTTGCTCACAGTTTTTTATTAACATTTTTAAAAAGCCTGGCAAACCTAACCGGATAACTCCCCTGGATAGATGTAAGCAATATGGCGTCAATTCCGGCAAGACTATCAGAGTGGGAGGTAGGCTTATATCGAATCCCCTAGATGACTGTGTGAGAAATCTGTCGATGTGCCCTTGAGCAAGGCACTTAACCATAATTGCTTCTATAAGTCGCTCTGGATAAGAGCATCTGCTAAATGACAAAAATTTAAAAAGTGGTACAGTCACTGTTGACTTGACTTCAGGAGGCAGCAGAGAGAGGGGGCCGATATGCATAGCGCCTGTTGCTATGGCAATCTGTAAACGGTGGTGTGAGTTATATGAATGAGTTGATACTGTGTTGCTTGGAGACTAATTTCACCCTTTTTCCCAAGCAGTGTACAGCAAGAAGATACTCCACCGACAAGCAAAACAGAACAGCCCAATTTTACTAATCAAGGGCTTGGTGATTATAATCTAGCCATATTTACTCCCATAAAAAGGCTGGATGGAAACCTGGTTAGTGACTGGGATGTCGGCCAAAGAAGCTGTTGCCCGCCGGTCCCAGACTGCCTTCCCCTACAGGGTTTCCTGAGCTGATTAGCAGGGGCAGAGAGGCCCCCTCTCATTACGCCAACCACAGATGAAAATGAGAGTAAAATGAGGCCCATTACCACGAGAGCATGACTAATATCCTTCAGTAGACCCTTGATACACACACATACATACACACATACACACATACCGTATACGTACGCGCACAGCCACAGCCATATCCATAAAATAATGTGCACACCCACACATACAAAGACACACAACCACATATACGTACACACACACATGCACGCACACACACCTATACACACGGTACATAAAAGCGAGGAAGGAGGGAAGGAGGTAATAAAGTCTGGCTCTATTAAAGTGACCCTGATCTCAGGCCTCTCTCTGTGGGGGGTGTCTGGCTCTCTATACACTGTGACTGTGTGTGTGTGTGTGTGTGTGTGTGTGTGTCTCTAGACCTCTAATCATCTATGATGTCATTAGTGCTAAATGCTACATTGGCCCAGTCCAATGCCTGATGCCTTTGGCCAGTCTGGACTAGGATCCAGTCAACTGCACTCTTTTCATCTCTTCTCTTCCTCTCTCCATTCTTCTCGTCTCATCTTGTTCTGTCGATTCTCTTGTCTCATCCTTTTTCGTATTTGGCGTCATCTCTTCTCTTCTCTCTTATAGTCAAATATTTTCTCCTCCTACTCTACTCTCTCCAGGCACATCTCTCTGGGTTGCAAGATTCCACTAACTTTCCCCAAATTCCCAGATTTTCCAGAAATCCTGGTTGGAGGATTCCTGATATCCTGCTTATTCCCTCCTGATTTTGGTAATCTGCCAACTAGGAATTCTGGAAAACCTAGGAATTTGGGGAAAGTTAGTGGAATTTTGCAACCCTATTCTCACCCCTTCTCCCCTCTGTCTTCTCCCCTCTGTCTTCTCCTCTCTGTCTTCCCCCCTCTGTCTTCTCTGTCTTTCCTGTTTATCTGTTTCTTCTGTCTTATCCTCTTGTCTTCTCCTCTGTCTATCCCCTCTGTTCTCTATCTATGTCTTCAAATCTGTCTTTACTTTGTCTTTCTTCTGTTTCTCCCTCTGTATTCTCTCTCTGTCTTCTCCCTCTGTTTTCCTGTTCTCCCTCTGTCTTCTCACTCTGTCTTTCTCTCTATGTCTTTCTCTGTCTTCTTCTCCTCTCTGTCTTCTCCCCTCTGTCTTCTCCTCTCTGTCTTCTCCCCTCTGTCTTCTCCTCTCTGTCTTCTCCTCTCTGTCTTCTCCCCTCTGTCCTCTCCCCTCTGTCTTCTCCTCTGTCTTCTCCTCTCTGTCTTCTCCTCTCTGTCTTCT